AACGTTGCTCCACTCAGGGGACCCTGAGAACAAAATTATACCCACCATCGAATAGGTGAATTGAGCGACCAATGTTCTCAGCGGGTCCTGCATCTGCATAAAGTGCAAGGTCAACATCTCTGTGCTGATCCGAGCTAACCTCAGGCAGCCCCTTTGAGCACGGTGTTTGCCGTTGCATTCGTGCTGACATCATCTGCAGCAAGGATCCCATCCCTCCTCAACTAACACATCCGCCGCCAGCCAAATACCAATGGTTACTAAATTAGGAATCCGCAACATGCCCGCCAATGTATTCGAGCAGTGAAGAGACCAGATTGAAAAGATAACTGCGCAAAGCACGCAAACACAGAAGCACATAGACTGTACTTCTGCTCTTACTCCCTGCACCCACAGCTACGTATATGCAGAAGCAGACATGTTCCACTCGGTTGTTGCATGAATGATTCCCTTGAATTACTAGGTACCCTTTAAGCCCTTCAAACCTCCCAGTATCACTGTCTTCTTGAGAAGGTACTAAAAAGGGACCCCTTTTCGGGATGCTTTCCATAACGTGAGGCCAGGGAACAGGAAGGTATCTAGCCACTTGTTGGCGAAGCTTTCATCGATCAGGTCATCATGGCGCAGCTGCGCGATCGCATCCCCCAGCAAGGGAACCACCTGGACGCAGAATCGCCGCCCGAGCTCTTGGCTGGAGAGACAAGGGGGCTTTGTTCGTTTTGTAGATTCTCCAGCTGGGAATTGCCAGGTTCTATAACCCGGCCTAACACGTTGACGCGCGTCAAGCGAAAAAAGAGGGTGTGTTTGTGCACAAAAGCCAATGTGTCCAAGTGGAACCGGGGATGACTCCTCCAGGCTTGCCCCGCAGAAAGCGCCGTGCAATCAACAATAGAACATCTTATCCGTCGCCGACATACTCCTGCCCCCTGGCCTGTCGACGCATCTTGCTTTTCCCAAATGGTCAACTGGAAACAAGCTTTGGCCGACTTTGACCAGCAGGAAACAGCCAAAATCGTTGGATGAGCCACCTCCGTTCTGAAAGACGATCTTCCGTGTGTTCACGCGCTGTCTCAGAGGAACCCAAGCTCCAAAGTGGATCTGCGCGATCCACTTGTGCAAGGAGTTGCAACACCAATGCAGTTGGATCACAGGAGACTATCAAAAGGATAGGGATCCATGCAAAAGGGGCGGTGTGCAAGGAATGCCACTCGCAAACACTTGCCATTGCCACGAACGCAACTAAGCTCCAAGCCTTCTTATGCCTCCTCCGCAGCCCAGCAATGACCTCTGTCACTTCTTTCAAGCTCTCCCCCTTCTCCACGAGCCTCAACTCTCCTTGGCGAACCACTACCCACAGAGTGCCGGAGCTTACACCAGTTCGGGTCTAGTGCGCAGTTGTCTGCTGTTTTCATTGAGCTTTGAGCCACTTCATTCAGTAGAGGAAGAGCCGGATTTGGGTTTCGATTGTGTGTGTTTCACTGTTTCTCAGGTTTTGGGAACTCATCCCTTCTACGATACTGAAGTAGGCAACTTTTCTGCGCTTTGTGACTTCTAGAGTATTCCCCCGGTAAAACAGAACATGGAATACTCAAAGCAACTCGTGCCTCGCAACTATGATGTTGGTTCACAAGTAATCTTGCTTGCTACATTCGCGGAGGCTTGAACAACCCAAAGAGTCATCTCTGGGGATTCAAGCAAGTAATTTCTCGCAAACATCTCCTTCCAGCCGGCTTCCCACCCTGAATCAATGCACCCTCTTAACAAACCTGTTGTTTGTTTCCCGGAACCCAAATCTCCCAATTCAAAAATAGGATAGAAATAGCCAGTACTAACACAAACCTAAACCAGCAAATCTCCTACTCCAGTCGTACTGGGGGGACAATTTATAAACCAATGCTAAACAATTGCCAAACCGATTCTAAACCAACAAAAGTAGCGTGGAATTCTGCTGTGTAAATTCCTTCCTCCGAGTTTACCATGTTGAACAATGTTTGGGCCCAAAAAAGGGAGCCGTTTGGGCCTCCAGGCGAAACAATTGGCGATTCAACACGGAAACCACCGGGTCTCTTCGAGAGGAAAGGGCTCTTCTAGAAACCTCCGGTCAGGTTCGCCGGCTCTCTGTCGGAAGTTTCGCCAATTGAGCATCAAACTCACTTTGGCTTGGCACCAAACATGATGCTTAAAACTGGCAAAAACGGAAATATCTACGGAACCCTGGCCATCCTCAGCGGGGCACGGAAGGAGTGCGTCAGGATCTTCCGGACCTCGGTCAAGTCTTTCGGCTGACAGGACTCGGAAAACATGGCACTGTGCGCCCATAAAGGCATCTGTTCACGGATTCAAGTCCATCTGAGTCCCATTCGCCGAAAAGACCATTTGTACTGGGACCGACGTGTGGTTGAAAGTGCCAAACTCTGAAAGGCAAACAGATTTGCTATGCCTCGTGGCAAGGACCTATGCAAACAAGGGACCCCGGTTCGGCTCGTTGTACAAGGAACAAATCGCGAAACCAAGCATGAGCTTTTGTCTGGCTGACCTTCCTGCATGCACACATGAAATATCGTCGAATTGGCTTCAACTGGCCCACCTGCACCTTTTCTGGACGGGAGATGCCCAGTGTCTATGAGATAGCCCAAGACCTTTTAGACCATTTCACTACGGAACCGACTGACTGGAAAGAGGCCGCTGAAAACTCGGGTAGAAGAAACGGACACAACTGATCCATTGAAGCGTTGGCCAACCCGTCTTGGCAGTTGCCAGAAAGAACACCCAGAAGGGAACCATAGAGCAGCTTGGACTCCAAACCAGGCAAAAAACCAGCAATTAGGAAAAAGGCGGTGTTCTCGGGGCAAGGCCTTTGCCAGGATGCACGATATTTCCTCCTTCAACTTCACCCTACCCAAATGAAATTCACTTGACATTGGCCACGACAGTGACACGGGCAACCTTGTATACTACAAAACTGCATAACATTGGAACGGGTGAGGTACTTGTTGTAATCGTTTAGCCTGTTGTAGTAGCACGTTGAAAAAATATAACAGCGATCCGCAAGTCATCGCGGCTTGCGAGGGGCGTCTTGAATCTCCGGCACCTCGGACCACCTGGGCAGCGACTCCAAATGCCTCGGAGCCAACGCAACCACGGGATGGGGCCCTAGGTTGGTCTCCCAATGCTAGAATCCCGAACATATGTCATTGGCTTGGGCTTGAATCCACAAGACCAAAAAGTTGTTTCCTCCCTCTGGCCTCTTCTTAAAAAAGAAGAAGAAAAAAAGAGCCTTTGCAAGGAAGCTCCCGGTCAATGGACATGATGATCAAATTGGAGGGGACTACAACATCGTCCCAATCAGAGCTTCCGGTTGGATCCCCCTTTCTGGGAATCTGGGACCCACTCAAGCATAATAAATTAGAACAACCCCTTTTCAAAAAAGGGGATGAGGGGATCTGAAGCCGCGGTATATAATGGCATGCTTTGATGCTGAGAAAAGGCATTACCCAAACGCCAGCGGTGACTCGATGGGATCGCATTGTGCATATGTGGATTTGCGGCAATGGATCTTTGCATGGATCCTCTGACGCGACGCATGTTGGAAGCAAACACGCAAGGACGAGTTGTTTAGTCCACATCATCCGTGAAAAACCTTTGCCCCATTGCTCTCCCCCAGCCCCTGCTTGTCTCTCTGACAAAATCCATGCCACGCTTGCAACGCTTGCCAGCTCAGGCTTCCGCTTGATGCGCGTAGCAAAGTGTCCCGGGAGCTTGTCATGGATCAAATTCGCGACCTCGTGCGGCGTTGAGGCCTTGATGATTTGATCCAATCTCACCTGAGCAGAGAGCAGAGAAACTGTCTGCCTGTACGTCACTCGATGCTACCCAGCTTTGTGCAGCGTCTTGCTTCTTTCCTATGCACATGGTCAGCCCAGCTTTGCTTTGCGGATTTCGCTCTCCCTTGCGGACAAGCAACGGGCTGGGGCGACTTCTGGGCAAAGTAGTCGATCTCAGCCTTCATGAACTTGTCCAACCTGCTTGAGGAGATACTCACACTGCCTTAGCTGTTTCTGGGCCCGCTGCAAGGAGGAAGAAGAGTTCTGAGACTGGGAACTCGACAAGCACGCACCACCCCGCTTTTATCATCAAGACCCCCTTCATCATCAACCCTCCCCCCATCAGGAAGCCCCCCATCATCAACCCCCCCTCCCCCCTTATGAACCCACCTCATCCGAAGATTTCAAAGGCGTATATACAGGAGAATCTCTTGGAGATTAGGCCCTGTCTTGGGCAGAAATATCATGCTGGCCCGGCTGCTGCTGCTCCTTCGCAAAAGCCATCTCGCTTTGTCCACTTGAAGTAATCGTGGAGGCATGGCTCACACTCGGAGTCGTGTCCAGGTGGTGCTCAGCAGGTGGGAACGAACTTTCTATGAACTTTCTTTGCCGAAGCGGGATTTCCATCGAACGCCCGTGTACCGGCTCTTGAAAGGAAACAAACTGGACTGTAAAAACAACAAACAGCAACATGTAACGCAAAACTTCATACGTACCATGTGTACAGTACTGTGTACCTGTCACAGAGCATGGGGTTTCGGAAGCGCATCTCCCACAACTCTCGTACCCCATACTTGGGCTGCTCAAACTGGACGCTGCCTTCCGGCTCGAATCAGTTGCTGCCCAGTTGAAAGGAAACAACATTCAAAAGGGCTCCAAGTCAGGTGCATGGCTTCACTCCGATGTGCCAGACATGAAGCGCGGTGTTGCTCAAAGCCCGTGGAGTGATTGAGACCGCCATGCCTGGTGTGTTTGCTGGAGCCGCAAGCCAACAGCATCGACAGTTTCTCGTTGCCTCATTGCCTTTCCCAAGCTCAAGGCCTAAACGCCCTCAGTGTGGCATATCTGGTACAAAAAATATGGGACCCTCAAATGGTGTTCCATATTGATCTCTGCAAAACCCGCCCAAGGCACCAAAATCCGGGGTTGGCGCAAAAACAACGCAATCTGCACGGTGTCCTTCCACATAGCACGCCGCTCCCTTCCGAAGTCGTCATCCAAAGGCACCAGAGCTTCCTGGCACAAGGGTGGAACCCCACAACCCCCCCCCCCCCAACCACAAAAAACCTCTTTGATTCTGGGCCGTACTTATTGAACCCAAAAAGAAGACATCTCAAATGATCCTAGATTTTCCCGTAATTTACGGTGTTTCCTTGGAATACCTTGGAATGTCGAGGAATATTGGTGGAAAAATGGTCCCTGATGAAAGATTCGGAGCAACCTTCCGCTTCCAATGCACACACACACACACGCACGCGCTGTAAGCGTGATGCAACGGGTGATGCTTGAAGCTAGGGGCCCAACCAGCCACTGAGCCGCATCGCCATCCAAACCGTGAATTGGGAGTTCCGCTGGTTGCAACTTATGGGAATTATTCCTGCCAAAGCCGCTAAAAGCTAATTACAAGCTCAGCCCAATTTGTTAAAAAAAAAAAGAGAAACCATCAACTAACCAACCAAACAACCAAACAAACTCCAACAGACCCAGTCCTATGCTCAACTCGCCATTTTACAGAACCCCATGAAAACAAGCCACGCGGAACTCGGCCGACCAAACTCTGAGCTCCGCGCCAGCTGGCCAGCGATGCGCAGAGCCTTCAGAAGGCTCTCGGTGACCGCCAGGGCCGTGGGGTTGGACACCTGACAAGTGAGGCTCCTCTCGCTCCCTGATGCTTTACCGGGAAGTTGAAAGGAAACCAACTAGCTATGTGGGTCCAGCGGATTGCAACGAACAAATTGCAGCCTGCCAAAGTGGCAGGCTAGACCCACTTGGATAAATCTCACATGCGCAGAAAGCAAACCCGGGTAATTGAGGGTAAGGTTGTAGTTTTGTACATATGCTTGCTAGACTCCTTTACGCGGCGTTGTTGTTGACGGGCGCGACGCCTTTTCAAACCTCCACCCACCCAAGCATTGCCCAAGCAAGCCCACTCAACACCTCAACTACCGAGGGTCCTGGCAGGTGTTGATTGTTGGGAATGCCAGTGGCCCAAAATCGGCCAGGGCTTCCCGTTTGCATTGCAGGGTTCCATCCATTCATAAATTCGAGACACGGCGTCAGCTTTTACGCTTGGGATTTTACCCTCCTTCCAACCATCATGGAAATGGACAAGGAGCTTCTCCGACAAACAAGCTCCTGTCAGCTTTCGTGATTGCTTGCTTGTTCTCAGTACGTAGGGAATGCGGGACTGATTCCCGTAAACCTCGTGGTTTCCTTTAAGGGCATCCCCTCCCGGTTCAGCCCCCCAAAACCCCCCACAGAATTCCCTAGAAGGAAGTTGGATGCAATGCTCGGGGAAGCTGCCTGCAGCTCCCGCAGCTCCTCCACGGGCGCGGGCACTTGTTCCAGCCGGTGCCGCAGAAGCTGAATCCGCTCCCCCGGCCTCCGTCACGAGAGAGAGGAGGCGGATGAGGGGCCGGACAGGGCGGGCGACAGAAGCCGTTGGGGCGGGAGTTGTCTCAAAATAAATGGGTGTATCTTGAAATTTTGGGACCCCCGCAATGGTGGTGTTCCTTGTGGTTTTCCTTTAACACAGACCGCAAAAAGGGCTTCGCTCCAAAAAAGACACCGCGCCAAACGTTGCTGGACAAAATCCTACTGTGCTACAGTTGGGATGGATGAAACCTGGGATAAACCACAAACTGGTCAGCTTGGGGTTGCCAACCGGAGAATTGGTGGTCTCCCATGAGCTCCCCTTTGAAACCAAAAGGGGGTTGTCCGGAACACGCCCATTCGTATTCTTCAAGGAAACAAATGGGCTCAAAATTATCAGGAATGAGAATAAAGGGTTCTTGGAAGGGGGTGATGTGTTTTTGGAGGGTGCAGGTTTTGATGGCGTTAAACGGAAACCAACAGCAACACCAAAAAACCAGCTCCATTTTGTGGGGGCATCCCCAAAAAGAGACGACACCCAGAAGGACACCAAAGAATCTTCCCGGGAGGCTGGTCTCGCCCCAAGGTTCCCAAAGCTTGGGGCCCTTAAGGATCCATTGCCTGCTGGAAATGTCCGTCTCACAAATTCCATGGGGGCAGCTCCGATTTGGGGTTGCAACCGGCCATCATAAACTTGTATAATCACAAAGGGCTGGCTCCACGCAAAACTGCGACCTGTGCGAATCATGACCTCTGGGCAGCATGGTGATCCTGGACGAAACTTGAGCCCACGACATCAGCTCGGCACCAGTTCTTCCGAGTCACTGCCAGAAATCCGGACGCTCGTAGCCCTCGTAGCCTGAGTCGAAGCCCCGCAAAGGCTTTGGGGCGGCGGTGCTTATCAAATGCCAATGCCTCCACAGGGGGAAATAGCCGCAGTCGAAAAAACGAACACCTGGTTACGAGAAGAGGAAAGCGTGACACTTTCCTTCAACATGGAAGCTTCCTCTTGGGGGTTGTCGCAAAGGCCCCCCCAACCATCATGAGAATTAGGGGAACCACCTGTTTCCAGGGTGGGGGCCACTCAAGAGTTTAAACGGTTAAAAGAGCCCGCGTGCAAACATGGTTCCCCCCCCCAATCGAGTAAACATCAATGTCCAACCGCCAGAAAGCAACTCCTTGGCTTCCAACGGCTCGCATTTGGCTCCGAACGTTCGTGCCACTTCCGTCGGGACCCTCTTTGAAGCTGTCACGTTTAAACACTTGTTGAAACTCGTGGCGTTTGAACGGCGGTTTAAAATCATGGCGATGAAGATTCACTCTTAAGATCCGAAGGGCTTCCAATGGTTGCAAACATTCGTGCCCCTTCCGTGGGCCTTCAAACAGCCATTAAACCTACATGCCGCGCTATTGAATTGAGCAGCGTTGCTTCGGAAAGTATTCATACAGGCGTGGGTAGTGCTTCTCTACAAGAAAACCTTCACACTGCAGCAACACCATGAATGGTCAGCGTGCTCAGACAAGCACCTCCAGAACAGTGTTTACACTGTTAAACGCTTGAAACGAATCGGCACAATCGCACAAACATGCATAAACGTGTTGCTCTTCAAACCTGTCTTTGTTTAAACATGTTTTGCCCTGCCCTGCGTGTTTCACCATACCAGAGCTGCGTTAACGGCATCTCCATGCATCTGCTCCATTTCCCTTTTAGGACTATGAAGCAATGCCATCCGACCCTGCCCAACATCTCGCCACCCGCCATCGACAACTTCATGCCCTGACAGGCTGTCGACACACTTGTCTGGGCAGCTCAAAATGAAGCATTCGTGAATTCTCATTCGTAATCCCTACTCGGAAACCACTACAGAAGGAAAGGGTCAAATCCTTTCACCCAACGACGGGACAATGTTTGATACTGCCTTTGCATGCCTTTGCAAGGCCAGATCTTCAAGCACAAAGGGGGTCAAAAGGGAACACCCTGGTCCTAAGGCGGGTGCCTCGCACCCATTCTTCTGGACGTGTCCTCGGCTGAGGATCATTCTGAATTTTCCAAACACGGACGGTCCTGGTGTCACCCATCGCAAGATCTGCGCTGAGGTTTTTGGAAAGATCTGGGCCAGGCTACCCGCGAAAGGTGGATCCACTGTTTGCTTTGTGAGACAGGTAGTGTGCATGCTTCACAGAATGAGGGTCGCAAGGTGGAGACTTTATGTCGGTAAGCTATCCCTTTGGCTTGGCTGCTTTTTAGTTTCCAGTTCCAAATGTCAGCCCCAGGCCAGTTGGAGTAGCTCACTGCGATTACCCATGGGATAACACACAGATCATATTCTGGACCACGGTAACATAAGCACTTCTCAAAAAGAAAGAGGCCAACTTGGGTCCAACCATTGTCCGGCGGCAAATGGTTGGAACTCTCTGCAGTCCATTTTGGGTCCCGAACCCACCAAACATAAAGGCTTGGAACGGTTCGGGGGCGAAACTTTCAATCAAACAAAAAGCATGGCGACGTGCACTCAGTCGGTCGAGAAGCGAGTCGGTAAATAAGCCTTCGTTCGCAAGATCGGTGCCACACATGACAAACAAAAACTACGGCAGCTTCCCTTTCCGACCAACAAGGGAAATAATATATAAAGTAACGCATTTGGAAGCAGGTGTGCAGGTTTTTGGCTGCCACGAATCGATTTGGACGGACACGTGGCCATTTGCCCATTGGAGCTTCTGGGGTGAGGTCGCGTCTATGCGACGTGCATTTAGCTCTTTCACCTGGCGCCTCAAAGACATTTGATCCCAGTTTGCCCTTCTGGCGAGCGTTCGCCAGGACCCCTACGGCCGCTCAATGGACAAATCCAGGATCAACAACCTTAAAACCTGGTTGATTTCTAATGGAGCCGACGTCTATCAAACACGAGCAATAATGCGATGACAGCTCCAGTGATCATCCTTTTGCTGGATTCTACGTTGTCAAGACCTGGCTTCACCCGATACTCCCGTGGCCTTTCGAAATACAGGCCCTTGATACATGTTTGAGCTGTAAAACTTCCCAACTACCGTTCAACTGCCTCAGTACCTTCAGTACGTTTGGGCCGGTGCTCCTCACCTAAACCCATTTTAAGAAACAGCCGGAGGATTGTGAGCTACCTGCCCTCTTGCATCAGCTTCCACCAACAGCCCGAAACCGCCTCCAGTGTTCGTTATAATGAGTGTTCCTGCACCCTTGCCAGCATCCTGATCGCCAAAAGAGCTGCAGACATTTCGGGGACATTCAGACCCAAACAGGGTGTGCACTCCAAACAGAGGGGCATAGAAGCACCTTTGACCCAAACGGGTACCACACGCGCCAGCCCTTTGTCCGTGTGTTTGCCTCCCGGTTTTTGGGGCTGAGCACCGGCCGAGTGGCTCAAACTCGATCTTGCCCAAGCCTTGGCCCGGGATGAACCTCGCTCGTGGCCCCGCAAAGCGGCCGTGCTGGTTGACACCGGAAGAAAGACGGGAAGGAAGGAGGGAGGGAAGAAAGAGGATAGCCAAAGTAGATTTGTTTGGGTTGCAAATAATGGAAACCCAACCGAAGAAAGGGATTAGGCACATAGGCATAGATCATGCAAGAAAGCATATGTAGGTGAGCGTTGCGCATGCATCTGCCACTCTAAACTACCTCAATATGGGTAATCTGCAGGAGCCTTTGGCAGGATTGATTCGAGGTAGCCGGAGCTTCAAACATCCTAGAGAGCTCGTACAACCCAACTTGCCGCACCGGCCCATGATACTCTGACCGAGCCGAAACGGGCCCAGTAAAATCATCAACTTCCAGGCAACAAATGGCGATCCTTGGGCCCTGATCCCTTTCACGGATGTTTTTGTCAACCCAGCCGAAACGTATTGCCACTTGTTGCTTTCAGATTCCTTGATCAGAACTTTTCCTTTGGTGGGCCTCTCCTTCAGTTGCCTTGGGCTTTCCCGAAAGCAACCATTGATTTCCCAGCAACCCAAAAGGGTGTTGTTTCCCTTCTTCGGTTTCCCTGTGAAACAACTCAGAGAGGCTTGGGTTCCATTGACGTCTCGGATTCGCCTCGAGCGCATCAAATCTCGAGCGCATCTGAGCCTCTGACGGCGCCAGGGCCCTGTGAGGCTTGAGGTAACCCAGGCGCTCGGCCTCCAACTCCAAACTCTCCCGGTCGCTGCTCACCTCGACGCGTTTTGCGGCCGAAGATGGCATGGCGGGCGCTTGGGCCGTTGCGGACCGTCGGGTTAGAGACCCAGGTCAGAAAATGGCCCCTCGAGAATGGACCAAAGCCTTTGTGATGATCCAGATGTGGTGAACCTGAAAAGATCCCACTATGTAGTGAACCTCAAATGTAAAATAAAGTCAACACTGAGTGTTTCCCAAAGGGCCAAAAAGGGCAGCAGTTGGCTGGTGGATTTGTGGAGAAAGGAAACACCCCGAGGTCTGGCGCTTACAGCTACCTTTGAACCCAATGAACCCAGCTGCAACCGGTGACCCTGGCGGAAAACGTGAGCCCGTTTATCGTTCATGGGAGTGGCGCCATTTTTCGACGCGGACCTACCAAACAAAAATGAAAAAGGGTGCCTCTGAAGAAGTGAGCAAGGGTCCAGATGGAAGAGGGGCTCCGGAATGTGCTTTTGGGGAAAACGGGGTGTAAACTCTGTTAGCGAAGGAACAACAAGCCATCCACTGGTTGCACAGAAAAATATATATATATATATTAATAGCCATATAGCTACATATTAGTACTAACTGTAATTACACATGTCCACAATATCCACGCAAATACATTGCCCTAAAGTTGCGAAACTATCGTGTGGGCTGTGGGAAACTGAAGATTAACGCAGTGCTCCGCATGAACAGCAGCACGAGACATGCCATCGTTTGGCTGAAATTTACTTTGCGCAGCTAGCTGTGAGTTGTGAGGTACTGTGATGCTCGCTCCAGGGGAAGATGTCCAAACGTGGAGTATTGTGGAGTGTTTGTGTGTGTGGTTTGTTGCAACTTAAAGAGAATCCGTGTGATTGGCCCGAGTTTGACAGCCTTAGCTATTTGGTCACTCGCTCCAAAGAGCCGAACCCAACAGCAGCCATGAGACCTCACGGCACAGGTCCGGGAAGAATTTCCCGATGTCCTTTGAATGTGAGCCACACGTGGGCCTCAAGGGAGCTCCAACCATTTTGACCCATCGCGGCCAACCCTTTTGGGGTCCCCCATATTTCCACACATACCCATTTGGCTGTGGGTCAAAAATAGGGGCCCAAAATGGGCTGCCCTGGATGGAAAAGTAGACAAAAACCTGCGTAACCCTGGGTTTGAATTTTGAGCCACACCCATTTTCTTCGCTGCTTCCCTCCACTTCAAGTTGAGGCAAGCGCCACTAGAAAGGGCGGCCTCTTGATCATGGCCGCGCCCAAACCGTCCAGCTCGACCAGCAGCCCAGCACTGGTCAGCCATTTTTTCACCTCGCATCTGGCGGACTGGCCGTTCTCAGCACTTCCGGGGATCTTAGTTGAAGGTTCCCTTGCGCACATGCAACATGAGGCTTCATGACCCATTCCTCACTTGCCTGGGGGTCACCAAACGACGGCACACCGAAAATCACGACTCTAAGAATGGGACGTGGATTGTCAGGTCCTGCGAGCGTTGGGATGGGATGGGTGCCTTGCATCCCCCGACATGCACTGCACTCGCTGGACCCAGCCAGACTGATCACGCATTGCTTCCACTTTCCTCCCTGGCACCGGAAAAGCGAACAAAGATACACACACACACAGAGACGAGCAGAGTGTCCTGAATGAAGTACGCTGCACGTTGCACATTCTGATTCAACTCTGGGCTTGCTTTGGAGGCACCTCTATCATGTCTTCACCGTCCGGACCCAGGTGCCCACACCCTTTTCAGCTCCCCTCTTGATTCCTCGCTCGCGTTCTCGGCGAAGACCACCAAATACCGCGGCCGCGGGAAGTCGCCCATCTCGCCATCCACGAATCGACGAAAGCCGCCCGTCCCGCAGAGGGCGTCGGAAAAAGCGCGGACGCGCACGGGGGCCGCTTGAACCCGATCAGAAAGTGGCAACGCGCTCCCTACTCAGCCATGAAGGCTAAGCCATTGATGCAATGATCCTACTACGCCCACAACCAAGCAAAGATCGATGCAAGTTGATAACTCCAAAAAAAAGGTGTTAATAGAGGGGCCCCACAACCTTTAAACCAGATAAAAGGGGCACCTCAACGCGCACACACACACACAAACACACACACCATGTTGGCAAACAACTTCTCTCCAACGATCAAACGCGAAAACGCGTAGATTCGATTGAAAACTTCCATCCACTTGGACATAGCGCTCGGAAATCTTCCAATGTGCATCAGGGACAATGGGGGGTCTTACCCTGCACATTCAATCGCCAGCCAGGGAATTTCTGGGCTGCTTGGGGCTTGGGGGGTTCTATTTTTTCAAAACGGTAGGCAGAAGTTGTCAGTTGAGTGGACCAGAAAGACAACACACAAGCCGGGTACAACTTTGAACCGGGTCTTTCTTTCTACCCTCTCCTGTCTTCTTTCCTTGTGCCTACCCTACCTCCCGAACGGGGCTTCCATGAGCTTTAGTCAAGGCCACATCCGGCAAATATCCAAATCATGGTGCCACGGATACCGAGTTTCACCGCGGACATCAACAAACGGTCAAAGATGACATGAATGCGTGTGTATGTAAAGATGCATATTATGCATATGCACCACACAGCCTTTGTGAGGCACCCTGTTCTTGGAAGTGGGTTGAAAGGGAATCACATGGGAGTTCCAGTCGCCTCCAGCTCCGCTCTGAGCTACGCGCGGGGACGTTCGCGTTGATGCCTATCCCCGTGGTGGCCACTCAAAAAGGAAATCCCCAAGGACTCATGCTTCATATATGCGTTTCAGGTGATGTATGAGCAAGAACCCCAAACTATTAATTAACTCTTCTGGTTTCTACCTAGAGGGTTATAAAGGCTGCGCTTTTGAGCCTCACGGAAATCCCCATCGAGCCAGCGCGCCCGCTCGGCACTGCACGCATGCCTGCCAAATGGTAAGCACGCCCTCGCCCGCTCAACGCTGCACACACGCCTAGACGCGCCCGCTCATGCGCACCCCGACAGCGCTGCACACACGGCTGCGCATGGTAATCGCGCCCACTCACGTGCGCCCGCCACCGCTGCACACACGCTTGCCAAATTTGGTAAGCGCGCTCGCTCCCGTGGACCTGCTCAACACTGCACACATGCCTGCCAAATGGCAAGCGCACCCATTCTCAGCACTGCACACATGCCTGCCAAATGGTCACAACACCCGCTCACGCGCATCCGCTCAGCACTGCACACATGCTTGCAAAATGGTAAGCACACCCGTTCAGGGTGAAGACAAAGCGGGAGGCATCAAGAATAAGCTTCGAAGAGTGCCGCTCAAAGGGTGACAAAGTCACAGTGGACTCCATGTACGGGCTGCAACGTACCGCCGCTATGGCGTGAGCAGTGGTGTTGTGGCAGGAGACTGCATCAGTCAAAACAGCTGGCGCTGGCTCGATGAGTTTGATCTCTCTCGTGCGGAAAAAGGGTTTCCTTCAAACGCAGCGGCAAATCGATTCCATGTATATAATTTTGTTGGCAGGCGGAGTGAATTTGACATGGCACCGAGCGTGTCGCTAATCGAAAACAGAACAATACAATTGCGTCTGATAAAAACAATGTACATGTCCTCGAGAAAGCGGTTAGAAGCGATGTTTCTAGGAAGAAGTAGAGGACCGTTCCGAAGCTCAAATTCATTGGCCCTGCGTGTGAATTCAGCACAGGGTCTAAAGCGGACAGGGTTGCAACTCAGAAATCCCGGGCGCCAGGTGTATATTCAGGTGTGTATGGCGCGCATGTTCTACGTGCATCAGCTCTTGCAAGTCGTTTCATGGTCGGGATTTGTTCAATACACCGAGGAATTCGCCCCGGATGCTTTCACCGAAACGGCTCACACTCTTGGCCAGCGCCCAGGGCTTGATCCGTTCGGTCACAGCAAAGAGTCTAAAGTCTAAAGCAAAAAAGGCCAATGTGTACATGACGTCCACCAAATGGTCCCCAAGCAAAATCCAGACCAGAATCAAGCAAAGCCCCAAAAAATGATTGGCTTCCTGTTGTTTCCCTTTACTGTAAAAAAAGCTAGAAAAGGGTAACCACAAACAACACACATGCCCATTTGAAAATATCAGCGTCCCTCTATTTGATGGTCCTCTACAAGAACCAGGGGTTCAAATCCAAGCCACCAATCCAAACCACCATTGGCTTGCTACCCATGGACCCTCAAAGGAAGCGGCGTCGGCGCCTGCCATGGCGGCCTGCAGCGTTTCGGCGCCTGAGCGGTGAAAGCATCGGACCTGCAAGCAAAAAGACACGCCAACCCCCTGGGCAAAACAAACCAAACCAACCAGCACAAGCCAACTCAAACCAATTTCAATGAAACAAAATCACAAAAGCAAACCAGCCAAGCAAGCAAGCACGACGGTAATTCATTTTCATTTACACACAACAGGAAGAGCTGAACCACTGATCGCTTCAAGCCTCCGTTCTCATGTCATTGGCATGTCGTTCAAACAACACATGCTTGGTTGTTGTGAAGGGGCCTCACGTTGAATCTGCCAAATAAGCTGGTTCAACCGGCAATGAGCTGGTTCAACGGGCAATGCGAGAGTTGCCCTATGATCACAATTGCCCTCCCTCCAGCATGGCACCTGACAGAGGGTCCCTTAAAGAGGAACTTGATCTTCCAGGTTTCCGTCCACACATGCTACGAGTACGGTGGAAGAAGGGTATTGGAAGAAGGGTACTGTTTGGGTGCCATGGCGTCACCGCCCTATGCTGACTGCGAAAGCCCGCAACTGGGGCCCAAGCTGTTGAGCATCGAAGACGACCGCCTCGGTGAAAGCCACCGAGTCCGATTTCCAACTGCCAGAACCAGCCTCTCAGCCTGACCTCGCAATCAAGTCGTATCCCGCCATAGCTCAAAGGCCGGAAATGTGAGATGTTACCAAATGTTGACCCAGTCAAGGGACTTTTCGATTCAACCATTGGAGTTGGGGCTAAGGGTAGGTGCCACTGGCAGAAAACTTCTGAGCGTCCAAAACCCAACCAAAATTGGGCTTGCCCAACAAATACCACCCATATCTCCCTCGCCGGAAACTCCCCCACCCACTACTCAGCGCCCCGCCTCACTTTCCGGCGCAGGATGCCCAAGGCCTCCGTGTCCGGCTTGGGCGGTGCCACTTCTTCGCCCTCCTTGGCCTGGAAGCAGATGGTGCGTGGTAGGTGGGGAAGGAATTTCCGAGTCCGGGTGTTTGGACTGAATGAACCGGCTTTGGGGGTTCCCACGTAAAGGAAACCATATGGGCTTTGGGGATTGCCTGAAAGGAAACGGGTTTGCAAAAGAAATTCCAACTCATTCCCTGCTGAGAACCAGCAAGAGTTCAAGGGAACCAACACGATGGATTGACTTAGCCTGCTCGTGTCGGTTCAAGCTTGGCCCGGGCCAAAGAAACGGGGAAGGTGCCAGAAACATGACGCAATTTTGCAATGAGTTGCTGGCCATCAATTTCATCAACATAGGCAACCCATGGAAAACAAGCAGCATAAACAGGACGACTTTGAAGGGAGAGCCCCCTTGCCTGCCGTGGTGGGTGGGCCTTGGAAATGCGCAAGCAGCGAGTTCCCTTTAAAACACCAGGAAGATACCCAAAAACCATGGGAGTCTTTTCTGAGGCTACCACCGGTTGCTTGGTGTTAAAGGAAAACCAAAAGGAGGGGGGTACCCTAAAACAAGGCACACCCACGAGCCATGGTCAAGGAACCCCAAAACCTCCCCGCCTCCGCCTTTGGCAAAGCCTCGGCATCCCTCCGCAGCGTGCAAAGCAGAGTCAGGGACTCCTGGGCTGACTGGGCGAAACAACGAGAGCTCGGAAGAGACTGCTCTGCAAAAGAAGTTAAACTCCGGAAATCATTCAGTTTTTCCTTAGACAACTCCTTGATGTGTTGGTCCCCTGCGAATTTCGAGGGAATACAAACAAAACAACGCTCGGCAGGGGGTCGTGTTGAAGTGTGTCTCGCCAGAACAGCTGCGCACGTTATTGAGGCCAACAACAAATGTGGGGGAGTGTCTTCCAAAGGCGGGAGAACATTTCCCACATGTGGGCGCTTGTTGAGTCTTGTTGCTGTGCTGCTTCTTCTGTTGCTTGTAATAGTTCCTGTATGTGAAGTACCATGAGTGTGCGCCCCAAATGGCTCGAAAGTATTTAACATTTGAAGCATGCAATCCTTCACTAGGCTGATGTGTCCAAACCTTTGCTTATGCTAAAGCTGTTGATGGTGAACACCATATCATGCCTTGTGCTACTCTCCCCTTCCACTGACATGGCCACCAGAAGGTCCCTATAACTAACAGGAAACTGGTCTTGCTGCCTCCCAGTTTCCATGTTACGAGAGTAGGCGTTGTGTAGTGGCCCGACCCCGTCCGCCGGCCCGCGGCGCCTGCAGGCCCGCGCAGGTCATGCGCCTCTTCTCCTAAGAGCCGAGGCATGTGCCGAGGCTGTGGTGCCACTTTTCGGGGTGGTGAATCGAAACCGAAGGGACACCCCTGACACCCCACCCATTTTGAGGGTCCAAAGCGAGTAAATACCCCCTGAAAAGGGCCATGAAGGTCGACCCCACTTACTTCTCTTGGCACCTGCCAGTTCCCAGTGTCTGCCTTTTGCCCAATGAGACCTGCTGACGTGCTTCTTAGATTGCGCCTGTTCGGGGTGGCGAGTGTTGTATCATTCACCCACTTCAAGTACCCTGCTTTTACTCGTTCGTCCCCACTGCCGACAAGGGCGCGTGTTCGCACTCGCCTAAAGTTGTTGAACAGTAGCTCTTTAAATCAAGCAGTTTGATGGCAGCTTGTCAACAGAAAGCTTGAAGAAAGCGAGGCCACGAAATGTGAATTGGGTCATTCGGTTTCCCTTTTGGCCTGTGTCAAATCTGTGGACTTGCCCAAACCTTCCCCTCTACTGCTCTGGCCCAAACTAAGATGTTTAGGTGTTGGTCAGGAAGGGGGTTGCTTAATGATCAACATCTAAAAACACTTCAGCCCAAAAGAGCACACCTCAAGGATCCCATATCAATTGAGATAAGGCCGTACCTGGCAGGATCCAAACCGAAAGCTGAGATCAGGACTTCGATTTGCCCTTCACCGCGATAGAGGAAATCCTGGCCGCGGGGTGTATCCACCAGCTGGGTAGAGGAGATTGAATGGAAGGGTGGGGAGCAATTTTCACAGGAACCTAGGAGCAAAGGGAGGAACAAATGAACATGAAAATCCCTGAACAGCTGGATTGGCAAAATTTGGCCTACCGAATGGACATGATCTACTGGCTCCATGTTTTATCATTCGCAGTGCGTTACCACCAGGGGGTAGCTTCAAAGAGAAGAAAACAACTCTTGACCTTGGAAACAGAACCGGCCAGAAACAATCAGCGCAACCGACGCGCAAATCCCAACGCAGGCTGCCGAGGAAAAACAACGCGAGGCCCGGCCGCTGGCCTTGGCTGGCTGCGCCTAAGCACGAGCCGACAGCTGTGAGAGCCCTTATTTATCCTCCTGCAACCACAAACTGCACAAACTCTCTTTGGAAAACCAAAATGATTGGTCAATCCGTTGAAACCGGCCCTTGCTGCAGAAACATCAGCAAACCCAGCGGTCCCAAGCTACGAACTGCAAGCATTGCAGGACCGATTCTGCTCATTGTGCCCAGTGACTCATGGATTTACCCCACCACAGACTTTAAGGCCACTGACCAGCTGATCCCGTGGCCTTTTTCAGAACTGAGAATGGAAACGTGACTTTTCTTTGAAAACTTCAAGGAGGTTGATGGGTGCCGCGTTTGTCAGCGCCAAAGGGCCTTTTCGCTGTACCCAAGCTCATTGATAAGCTCAAGTACCTGGCTCCACATGGTCATCAGGCATGAGTGTATCAAACCCATTGTACCCCCAAGAGTCATTGACCCACATTGCAGGTCTTGAAGACAAACAACGCAACCTGCCATAGAAGTCACAATTGGCCAACCTTACCAGGGTGAGAGGAGGTTCGACCAGGACCTGGTTTGATTTTGTCAGCCCATGGCTGGCTGGGTGGCTTACTTGCCCAGCGGTCATAGTAAAGGACGCCTTTTTGTTGTCTGAATTTTGAGGGAATTTCAATTTCATTGAAAGAAGAGTGCCACTGGATTGGGTGGAGATGCTGAACCGCCAGCGTCTGGGAGCCGCCAAGAGATCCCAATTTGCTACATGGTAAAAGTAATGATCTGCGAAAAATGTCTGCGAGGGTCCCAAACCAAGGCCCTCCAAATAGTTGGGCTCAGCGAATGGTCTCACAACAAACGAGTCCGTCACGGTGGCATGACCGCTCTTGGTCCTTGGTGACGATTCGAGGGTTCATTTAAGCCACTTTTGGAGGGCGATCTTCATCTCAACAATTGTGTACTCATGGAAAGGAATGCAAAAGGAACATTAAGCCCCAGTTGCCCAGTGACCCCGGCCCTTCTGCAAGTTGACCATTCATAGGGTTCCACTGAAATATTGGGAGCACCTCCGCCGAGCTCCGCCGAGCTCCGCCGAGCTCCAACCCTTCAAAGGGCACATCATCGCGAGTCACTCCTTTGGGCTCCTCCAAATCTGTCGCCACAAACCTGAGACATCTCGGAGGGCTCGAGACTCAAACGTGAGCTTCACAAAGCGGTAACCTCAAGCACATAGCCACCTCCGGCAAAGCCATTGCACCAAAAAACGCGCCTCTTGGTGACCATTGGTCAGATAGGCTCAGCAATTTGAACAATTTGAAATGCATCGCTGCTCCACACCTCTCATATTGACCCCCGAAAGCTGAAATGGAGCTCCAAAAGGCCTCATCGTCCGTTTCAAGACTGAGGTCTTCGAACCCCCTCTCAGCTGATGGAAAATGGCCGTGTTGGGCTCTCCATGTGGGTTTTCCTCCAAAAAGGCGAGCCTGCTCCAGATTGTCTTGGGTTTCAATACAACCCGACATAAGCCCCGGATAGCCCCAGAAGCCAGGATTGGCGCCGTAGCCGTCGCTCTTGGGAAAACTGAGTAGTTCGTTGATTCCATGCTAGTGAAACTTGTGGGATATCACTCACCTAAATCCATTTAAATGCCAAAGTCTCAAAGTCTCAGGGAACCGCAGACTAAGGAAATCCTGCTGAGCAGCCATTCGCAGAAGGCGGTCTTGAGGTCATCCGGCAAACCTTCCGCATCCTTGGGTCCAAACGTCGACACCTTCAACCGGTCCACCCTTTTTGGGTTGGTGTCAAAAAGACAAACCCAAAGGAACACCAGCCCATGTTCACGCGGCCACAGTCTTTCACTGAGATCGGCTGGGAGGATTTTTGAGGTCACCTAAGGGTTTCGTTTTGGGGAAGCCTAGGAATCCCCCCAGAAACGCCCTTGGGTCACATCAGCTTCGGGTTCAGAACTACAGTAGGCATCCAAGTCACCCGCTGATATCTTCAATAAGGTCTCCAAGAGCCACCAATCAATTTCGGCCCCAGGAAGCGTTCATGGCCCCGATGCAGAACACGGACAAACCTAACGGCTAGGGAAGTGAGGCGACGATAGTCCTATTGACACTCCTGGCTCCAAAATGGGTGCAGGGTCATCCCCCCTGTTGCGACACACAAAAGCAGACTGTGTGGTTACTGAAATGTGCGAGGCTGTCTGTCCTCTTGGAGCTTGACACCCTCCTTTTGACCTGCCAACAGGAACGGAAAAGAATAAGAATCCCTTGTCAGACCCACCCCTAACTCTCACATGAATATCCAGAGGGCACGCAATAATGAGAAACCTCGGCAAAGGTTCGTGTATTAATGTACCAGCCGAACGCAAGCAAACCGGAGAAATAATCTTCCTGATTAACTGCCAGCAATGCTCCCTCTAGTGGGATGCTCCTCCTCCAACTGGCCGCGTTGTTTACAAGCCACCCCGAAGTGGCAGGCAAGGGAACAAAAAGACAGGTGTCAAACTGGCCTTGTAATTGTGGAACATGTTGGAAGGATCCCACTGGTCTTGGCGCCGTTTCAACATCATCGACGTCACAGACAAGTTTGTCTCTCAAGGGAAAGGTCTGAGAAGTGTCGGTCTTCCGGCCCGAACCTCAAGTGATGTGCACTGGCAAGGTTTTGGAGCAGATAGTGTCTTCAAAACCAGTCAACAAGTGACAACAAAAGGTCGCTCCGTGACTTGTTCGTTTTCCTGAGCCAAAACCAAACGGAAAACCCACACGATTTGCGGACTTCCCATGTTTTGCGCACGCCAAGATGTCCACAAAATGACAAAAGTGCTGGGCCCCGCGCGGTGCGGGAATTCATCTCCCCCGCCCGCGACGCAGGGGGCTTGGCAGGACCGGCGAATGGCTGGCTGGGTGGGAAAGGCAACCTGTAAAGGTATGGTGGGTTCAGGGTTCTCTAAAAATTGTAAGTTGATCCATGCTTTCAGCTATTGGGGAGACACTTTGCGGATGTGTTCCTTGTGTTCCTGCTTGGGGATCCACCGGAATGGGTTTGCTCTTTGATCCAAGCTCTGATGGTTCCATGTTCCTCTTTGTCCAAGAGCTTAAATCACAAACCAGGCAACATATGGTCACGTATCATATCTTCACAAACAGGCGTTGTTCCCGTTTGAGAAGTAGCTGACGTTTCGGGCAAGCTTCAACTTGGGTCCAAAAAGTGATCTGGTGGCTTGCGCAACCACACTGGCTGCGTGCCATACGCATAGGGCATGCCCAAAGCTTGGCCCAATTGCCCAGTGGCCTGCGCAAAAAAAAAAACAAGAAGCCCCTTTTTAGGGTGGATCCTATTCAGTGGGAAACCCACAAGAAGGGATTGCAGTGCGGGTCTGAGGTACACGTGCCGGATGCCTAGCTGCTAAGCATGGGGTCAGGAGAAATGGTATTTGTTCTCAATTCCTTTAGCATCCCAATGTGCCATTTTTAGCACCCAGAGGTGCTCTCTTTAGCATCCAAACGCTACATAACACCTGCAGGGCGGGTCCGGAAATCCCCAAACACGTGCTATCCTCCAACTGCAAGCCGCTGGCAGACATCTGAGGCTCCCAGGCCCAATAGAAGGGAAGCCTTCGCAGAGCATCCACCATCAGAATCTCGGTCTGATGGAAGCTGTAGCGGGCCTATCGAGACGAGTCTTCGCGTCAAAATGACGGGGCCGGGACCCAAAGTGGATGGGGTTTCCCCACCAAGCCCCTTTTTGGTAGGTCGCCTGTGGTAATTTGGTTGGTTCAGAGGGCAGCAAACCCAGGTTTATAACCCCCTTTACAAACAGTTGGGGCCAATTGACTAGCCTGTGGAAGCAGACAAGTCTCAGAGTAGCGGCAATGAGCTATATGACATACGTCAACTCTGGTGAAGATGCCGAAAGGCAGCTAACTAACACTCGAGGCATTAAGGAAAAGCCAACTCATTTCGGCATACGTCCACATGCTGCGGGCTATCTCCTTGAATCGATGCCTTGTAGAAGTAGTACAGAAAAGTGAGGCTGCCAAAACCACCTCAGCCACAGTCAGGTTCCGGAAGGATTTATGACGTTTAGATAGCGCTTGTGGTCGCTTGGAGTCTCTTGGGTCGCTTGGGGTCACTTGGTGGTTGCTCGGGTTTGCATGCATCATTCGGGTCTTTCACGTGATAGGTCAGATCAGCGCCTGAAATGTGTGTGTGTGTGTTTACTAAAATACAAGCCATCAGAACCCCCCTGAAACAGCGGGTTCCGAACAGGGTCGCCATTCTGTCAACTCCTCCCGTTTGTGCAACCGTGCCAACAGATTTATTACCCTGATTGAAAACGGAGACATTCTCTATCATTCTCTTCTCAGAGGATGACTGTAGTTTGTTGGCGCAGACGACAGGGCAAGAGACACACATGCCAGGTGCTTCTTGAGTCGGGACAAGGGACTTGCCCGCTTCAAAATGGGTCCAATCCCGACAGGAGATTCGTCTACGGGTGTCTCTTTGAGTTGGACCTCAAAAAATGGTTGTTTCCCCTTTGGAAGCCGCTTTAAAAAAACACAAGAAAGAGGTACCGACTCAAAAAGAGACGAGGCTTCCATACTGAGTTTCGGGGAAGTCCAAGGGGCCCGCCATTGGATGTCTGGGGAGGAGACGGCCCACTACTCGCACGTCGTCCATGTTTAGTGAAGAAGGCCTAGTCTGGGGTCAATCGGGTTCGGGTTGGGCCCAACGGAATCAAACATTGAAACTGGCCCAAAAAGACAATCGGGTAAACCACAAATTGAAACTGCCCCCCCCCCAAGAAACGGATATTCCCATGTCTGAATCATTCAAACGGAAGCCCGGGGGTCGAAGGTTTGGATCCGAGCAGCTGGACAAATATACGAAGAAGAGGCCCCAGCCCATGGGCTTGCGCTCCTCCTGTTCGGAAAATTCGGTGAAAACACCTGGGTGCTTCTCAAAACAAGGGGGACCCCCCAAAATGCGCTTCTCCTTTTGGTTCCCCTAAACCAACCCAAATGGGCACCATGAAAAAAGACGCTGGCACGTGCATTCCTTGCGAGATCTGAAGGATGCTGTTTGTCATTGCGCCGGCAAGGCACGGTTTGCATATTGTCCTGTGGGCGAGTTTTGAAAGCAAACAGATCCCAGAGAGGGCGCTGCGCCAAAGATCAGAGCGATAGCACCTCATGGCCAGGGATCGTGTTTTTCTTTCCGTGGTGTTTGGTGTTCGCCCGTCCTTCTTGTCTGTCTCCGTGCTAGGTGCCTGCGCCTGGACGGTGTTTGCAAGCGTTCAAAGGAAAGCCACCCTCTGAGAGTTTTGTGGTGAGAGCTCCAAATCTACCGATCTAAGGCCCCCATGTGAAGACAAACCCACATCACATCACCTGTCGAAAACTAGGCACCGTTGAGAAGGGTGAAGGTCACCAGAGGCAGACATAGTCACCAACAGGCTGCTACGGCTCCCTTTGTGATTCTAAGTCAATACGTGAAAAGTGACTGAGTCTCTGTCCTGGGGTGGAACGCCTTCAAATTGCAGGTCATGCCAGGCCTGGTGGCAACGCTTACTTCCAAGTCTTGCTGAAAGCTGTTGGGAACTAGCGTGTTTTGCACCCCCTCATTCCAAGCCAAACAAGCCATAGCGACAGTCGGCGCAGGGCAAAATAGTGGCATATGGAGACAGGTTTTTTCCTACATGGTGTTTGCCACCCGTTGGAACCGATTTCTGGCTCGTTCCTTGTGCTTTGGAATCCGAGGGTTCCAAACGGATGCGAGGTCCTTCGCTGCGGGGGGTCACAAAGTACAAGTTGGTGTGTTTTGTTTCAGCAAAAGCCTAAGAATGGCGTGTTCGAAAGGAAAGCAAGCGGACAGCCTCAAAATGTGTGAGATGGTTGACACACCCTTCACAACAATTGGTGGACATCAATCCCCAAACCAAAGGGAGACCAAAATGCTATTTTGGAGGGTTCATATCCAACTCCCGGATTCAAATCCATGGACTCTGCTTCCGGAAACTTCGAGCCTGCGGAAGCTCCGCCTTCGAGCTGGAAGCTCCTAGTGAAAACGGGCACAGCTCAAACAATAAAAGACAAGCCGTGGAAACAAGTCAAACAGTGGGGCTTGTCAGTCCATGTCTATTCTATATAAGATAGTGATAGTGGTGGTATGTTGCCATGTTTTCCGAGTTTTACAACACGCAAAAACAAGCAAATGACATTGGGTGCGGGGAATGACAGCCATCGGGTTTGGTTCAAGGCAATCCTTCGCTTTGAAAGCTAAGCTGACTTGGCAACCAATCTTGGTGCGTTCAAGAGCCTCTTTGTACATGCAAAGACCTGACCGCCAATGTACCCTCCCAGGCGATTCCGTGGAAGCTCCCACCCTTCTAAAAGACGCGGTTCCATTTCCCGAGGCCTTCCGGGAGCTTCCATGATAGTCTGAGGGGGTGTACCATCGCTGAAAATGTTCAAACACTTCCCGATGACGTACATGTCAAAGCTCTATCTCTGCCAAGCTTTCTCTCGCTCCCAAGAGACTCTCATATTCCCCGGTAGAAACTCGACGAACTTTGCAAACATACTGCTACTCAGCTTCTTGCGAATTCCAACCTGGCCCTCTTCGAACTCAGGCCCTTTTGATGGAATCTACCAGCTATATACTCTGTGTTGATTTCACCGCCTGGACAGCTTTCTACCAAATCCCTCTGCCTTCAAACATGGGACAGTTCAAGCGGGCGCAAGCCTTTTGTAGGCCTGGCTGCTGCGCACTTCGACACGACTGGCTCGGGGTACGCAGTGGACCAACAGCCTTGTCCACGTCGACTTTGTCGAGGCAATGGCCCGAGAAGAAACCCCGTCAATTTCAGTGCAATCACAAGGTGCGATCAGCAGTGCAAACCGCGCTGTTCATGTATGGGGGCATAGTGGTCATCTGTGTTTGTTTCAATTGCATCTTGTTGCAATCAGTATCAGCGCAGAAACTGATCTTGCTATTTCTGCTCGTGTTTGGTTTTGGGCCTTTGACTAACATGGCAACAATGACTTAGAACACATGAAGGGTACGTGGACAGAGTTCCTCCTGCGCTTGCATTTGCAAGATGGCAGATGGAGGACAGGGCAAATTCAGGACTGCTTCCCTACCCAGCATCCAGAGCACTAGGCAGCAGCTTCCTTCTGACTGTACAACTTGAGCTGGCCATGACAACGACAAGCAATGATCATGATGGCTTCTGGACCCAAACAGTTTCGTGGCTCCTGCCTGTTCGCTGCCTTTTGCAACGGTCTGCTTCCGCACACCAGACGTGCTCAACATCTCAGTCGCCATCCAGCGGCAGCAGCTTGATGGCGCGGGTTGTGCCATAAACCGACCTTAATATCGATCCCATCCACTAAGTTGACCCCAACTCCCGCAAACCCTCCGAGGAAAAGGTCAGTCGTTTGGCAAATCTCAGAGACCCCGTGCAAAAACCCCAGCTGGTTGTCATGCCTGTAAGATGTTGCTTTCCAGGCATGCCCCCTACATCTTACAAAATCACCAATGAGTCCTCGTTTAGAAGGGTAGGACCTTGTGACAACCTTAGCAGCTTGGAGAAGGTTATTTCCATTTGCTTGTCGATAGGCACTTTCGTAAGGGGGGTTCGACGGAAAGCAAATGAACTCCGAATCCCATTTTGGGTGTTCCCTCTATTGACTCTATTGTGAGGCTCACAGCTTACACGGAACTCCAACTACTGGGGAGGGGATGTTGTCCAAACCAAGAGAAAAGCACTGCCAGTCTGGGGCCTTCTATGTTCGAGACAGATTGACAAGATTCAGGCGCCGCCTTGATGACCATCAAACAAACTATGCAAGGCTATTCCCAATCACTGGAGGGACTGCCGTCATTTACACCTGAAGATGCACCCCTGATGGTTCCGACCTGCACCACATGAAACAAGCCACAAATTGTGGTACATAGCCCTTGAATTTCCCAGCACCTCCACTCTTGTGCGTTAGCCGCCGAACAGCATAAAATGGAGAGCACAAACAAGAAAACTGGTTTGAAGGAGCCAGTAGATTCTTTCAAACGAAATCCGATTCATAAATCAACATTGGGGGAACGTGCAGTGGGGACCCCAAGATTGGGGTTGTTGAAAAGGAAAGTATCGCTCAGGTACATGGGTGGCAAGACACACGAAATCGTGGACATGAGTCAAACCTTGCCAATTTGAAGGTTGGCTGAATCAGGTTCACCTGGGCCAATTATTTGTGATGCCAAAGTGTCTGCACTTGTGCACTTGCTCGAACTCACTTTTTGTCATACTGGAGCTCACCTCCCTCACAAATGGGCAACATCATGCACCACTTGGTCTAGCTTTTTACGTTTCATCCCCAACTGGAAGATTTTGACCGGTATCCGTGGAAGTGTATTGCCAGGAGGCATGATGGGATACAAATCCATCTCATCGGGCACAGAGATGGGCCAATCTGCCGCCAGCTTCCCGTCCAAAAGAATCTGGAACTTGCCGTTCTTGCAGCTCACGTCCACCACCTAACTCCATGTCACCAATGTGTGTGTGTGTGTGCGTGTGTCTCTTTTGTGAGGGTACGATGCTTGGGTAGATTCAAAAGTGATTTAAGCAAAAACAAAGGACTCTTTTGAAACATACCCATTTGAGTGGTAGGAAAGGGAAACCGCCCCGTTTCGAACTTTGATAGCCTGTCTATCATTCAAAGTGGGCAAGGGGCTTTCCGAGCACGGTTTTCCAAAAACCTCCGGTTTCTGTTGCTCCATGTGTGTTGCACTCACTTTCTGAGGGGATGGTTCAGAGGAGTCCAAACTTGTTTTCCAGTAAAATTGTCTTCCTGAAAGAACTCAGGAAGTGAGTGGAGGGAGGTAACCCAGTTGAAACCACTCGAAATGGACACACCGCTTGCCTTGCCGCTGGGGATGAGGTGGTGCTTCCAGACCAGCTGAGTGTCCTGGCCGTCAATCACCAGCCGACCTTTGGGATCGGAGACCTCAGACGTTGGGCCACTGGTTGACCAGTGCCCAGGCTGGCAAAAAAAAGAAAGGCCTGGCATACTCATGTACGAAATCCTGCACCGTTTGATGGTCTGTCCCATGATTTCGAGGGCTTCATCCAGAACTGGTGCCGTTTGTGGATTTGGTCCATCAGTGTGAATTGCCCAAACTGTGTCTCCAAACCCATGGCTTGCGTGCTTTCAAAACCCAGTTGCAGCAAGTTCTGGAGCCCCCGTTCTCTTCGAAACAGTGGATCACAACCTCCACATAAGCATCCCAGCGTTTGTAGGAATGCACAAACCTTTGGGGACATTTTATACAAACAAATGTACTATGGGAGTACCCCCTCATTCAGCAGGGGGTTCTTTCCTTTGACGGTACCCTTTGTGTTTTGCTTTGAAAGAGACAACAATGGTAAACATCTGCCGGTAAATCAAATCTCATTTTGCGGGTTCTCCGCCTTTGGAGACAAACCCGCATCCTTGCCAAGTATCATAAGCACCGGCAACGTCGCGGGCTCGTGCAGGAAGCGGCTTCGGCAAATCCTCGGGTGGGCTGCCAGTGAAGCCAGCTTCAAAGCCTCCTTCCTTGTAGACTCCGTTGTTGTCCACAAGCAGAAACCTGCCAAATTGTGGGCAAGGCTAAGGGGATCAATTTGGCATTGCATAAGACTGGGATACAACGTCGGATGACAATCCAGATTGTAACTAGGTTTTACCAATGGCTATCACTGATATGAGTGGGGGTTCTGCTGCTTCGGCAGAACCAACTCAATTTGTTAAACAGTCAATTCAAAACTCGCAGGAAGCAAAAGGTCTCATGACCACCGGCAAGGTCCAAAGGAAACCCGGCAGGATCTGAATGTGGCAGTGTGTCAAAATTGTGAAGGGGGCATCTCATACCGACTCACCAAATTCCAGTGTTGCAGGAATTCGTTGAAAGGGGGCGTTCATGTTTTCTCCTCCACGTCCACCCCCTGCTAAACATCCAATGTGGGGAAGGGGCCAAAGTTTCAAATGTCCCAGCCAGTCACGTCACACTGGCCCAGGTCATCATCATGGTCAAGAGTCGGAGCCACTTCAATCAACATCTCCGAAAAGCCAACTAGTCTGCAACAACTCCGCACAACAAACCTATGGCTAGTTGTGTAATTATGTGTGTATATATATATATATATATGTATGTGTATCCGATGGCAGATATGTATGTGTATATACGTGTGACTCTGTTTGAGGTATACACTACTTGAAAGGAAAGGAAGGGATCAGGGGTACACCCTCAGAGGCCAAGGTGTCTTGAGGAGCCAAACTCTCAACCTGTGGAATCCAGCGATTTCAAACCAAGCTGACTAGGAGGACAGGGTACATAACGACAGCCCAAAATCCATATCTGAATGTTTCTCGGAAAAAAAGGAGAAAAACAACGCTGCAAATTAACATGGCACGAAAAAAAAGGTCGACCAAAAGCATACACGTTTAACTGATGGCTCTGGACTTCCATGTCAATCGGCGAGGGATCGTTTGAACCTATTTGAACTAGTGTTCAAACAAACTCCTTTAGGTTTCCTCTTCATTCAAAAAGGGCCAGGGTCGTGTGGTTTTGACAAAGGGGTGTTGTTTTTCAGGGTACCCTGTTTGGTGTGGTCTTAAAGGGAAACCAAAGGAGAGGATCCCCATTTCCCCGACGGGCATCCGGATCCGCCTGAAGTGCCGCGCGACCCCGGAGGACGCCACCACCGCGTGGCCCACCGGGAACTCCGCGACTTCGCCCTGGCCTCTGCCGCGCTTCACGGTGACGCGGTCCGGCAAGATCTGGGTGTTGCGGCCCTCGGACTCAAAGACAGGGAAAGATACGCTTGATCGACGTATGAACCCCAGTTTAATAGTAGGTGGGGGCTTTTTCAAAATCCGGGGACACCCCCCCTATTGAGAACCGGGGTGTGACACTATGGGGTCAACATTGCATAACCTCCCACCAATTGACAGCCGAAACCTGACGTTCGGGGGGTCGTGGTTTGGACCATTTTCCTAAAGGGACCCCCGAACGTCAGGTTTCATGTTAATTGGTGGGAGTGTACATAGATGCGAAACGAAGGAAATGAATAAAGAAGACAAAGAAGTCACAATTCCTATGGTTGTCAAGCAGTTCCCCCCCAACTATCTCCCAGCAAGGGGCCCATAATGGACCCCAACAGATATTATGACTGAGGCACCATGAGGCACCACTATTAAGTTGCTAAGTGGATGAAAAACTGAGTGCGCGGCAAAACATTTGTCTTTTCCACACATTCGCATCAAGCACCCCAGGTTGGTGTACTGAATCGGAAAAAAAAGATTTCAGAAGACTACAGTAATGTCCCTTCATTGGTGGTTGGCATTGTAGCTTGGGGATTTGACCCCCTTGCTCCGGGTAAACCGCACACCTCCCGCACCTCCAAGGCGCCACATGAAAATCGCCAGACAAACGGAGGATCTGAAGCGGAGGAAAACGTACGACATGGCCTTCCCCCGTCCTTGTGCACGCCGTGCCAGGAGACCCCGGTTTGCAGGAACTGATTCCGCAGCTGCCAGTGGGCGGACTTGAAGATCCACCTTACCAGGGACCCGGACAACAAATGGGCACCCTTGGCTTGGGGTCGCAACAGGTTCAAGCCACAACTCGAAGGAATTTCAACCAACTAAGGTGTGACATAGACGAAAGACTGAAACTTGAGTCACCAAACCAGATTCCTGGGCAGAGCCACTGAAGGAACTCGGAGTAGTCCACCTGGTCATCCTTGCTGACATCCTGGGCTTGCGACATGGCGATGCAGCGATTTTGTGGCGACCTTTTTGGGCCGCCTAAGGAAATTGAGAAACCAAAAGCAATCAGCTCATTTTAAATTCCCCCATTTAGGTAAAGTATGGCCCAACACATCGAAACCAGTTTGGTTCTATCAAAATGGTAACATCTTCACAAGCGCGCTACATTGGGGCCCTGTGGATGCAGGCTTTCTAGTCTTCTCCAAAGCCACGTGGCAGTTGTCTAAAAAATCCTCGGAGTTGACGTCTTTGCGGGGAAAAAAAGGAGCGCGGGCACCGTGAAGGCTTTTGTGAGGCTACGTGCGAAGTGCACACCCCGGCACTTGCAGCTGGCCAGCGCATTGCAATTGAAACAGACCATTTCAACACGCCTTCCCCGGCGCGCCATTTCAAGGCGACCTAGTTGACCAGAGCGCGATGGACCAGGTTCGCTTTCCGAGGGACTGGCGGGCTGCGTTCTAAAGTTGCTTTTTCGATGCAGGGGAAGGGCTTCCGAAACACGGCTTTGGGGGGGCCGAAACTGCTTTGCAGGCTTTTCATGTCTACCACCCGCGAAGGGCTTCTAAACTGTTTTGTCGTCCAAGACTGCTTTCTAGGCATGCTTGGCCCTTTCATAGGCTGCGGGAAGGAGGAAGGATTCCCTTTCAATCCCATCATCCTCAAAAAGTTCAGGTCAAAAAGGGTTCCCAACTCCCATCCCAAAACAGGCGGAAACCCAGGCGAAAACATCGGTCTTCTGAAAAAAATCCAGCTTGCACCAAAAGACACTGATGTGTGTCGCATCCTGGCCATTTGTTAGAACCCACTTGGATGTGTGTGTGTGTGTGCGCATGTTTGTTTGTTTGTTTGTTTGTTTGCTGAGGGCATATTTTTCAGCTTGGTTGGAGGGGACACCAATTTGTTTTGACCCCCACCTCCTTTTGCGTCGGCCCGGCTCCCCGGCCCGAGCCAAGGCTCTGCCGCTAGGAACATCGCCGACAGCTCGGCGTCCCCCACGTGCAGGCCCAAACCCTCAAAAACCGCCCGGAGCTCCTCCTTGTCAATGATGCCGTCCCCTGAGCGCTTCAAGTACCTTGACCTGATAACATTACTCAATTGGCTATTATCGCTCAGTTCACCAAGAGCGCTGGCGTTTTAATGAACACCAAAGCGCGTCCCAACCTACTGGCCCACTGGAAAGCGTCGGTCTGCATGGACTGACCACGCTCCGCAATGGTTGGTGGACATTAATCCTCATGCATATGAAAGGGTCCCCGTTCAAATTCATTCCCACCAAGTTGGCTGGCTACTAGAAAGGACCAAATGTGTGGGCTCGATTTGGTGGGCCATACCCAAATGAAATGGGGGATCACTCCAAATTGTCATTGCTCTCATGATTGTCCTTCAAAGCCACCCAACAACCAAGTATCCCCAAAACAAATAGACATGCCCAAATAGGAGCGGTCCCACAAAAAGGTTGCACTTCTTGCTGGTTTCCTTCAACCCAACCTGAAACGGATGCACCTACCCATTTGGGTGTGGCTTAAAAGTAAAGAGCTAGGGTTACGCAGGCCTTAGTCTTTGGTTCCATTCACCAAAGTGCACTTTGGGTACTTGTTTAAAGCCACAAACATTTGAGGTCAACCCCAAAGGCCCGGGCCGTTGCGGTCCCACTGCAAGAACGCGGCCATCACGTTGGCATGTTCCACGTCCTCCGCGGCCGCCAGGAAGTCCGCCTGCTGGCTGTTCACTTCAAAAAGAAAGCAAACCAATAAGCAAGCACATGCAAGCACCCAACCGACCGACCAACCAACCGACCGACCAACCGACCAACCGACCAACCACAACCCGACAAATCAAGCAACCAACCAAGCAAGCAACCAACAAACCAGCCAGCCAGCCAAACAAACAAACAAACAAACAAACAAACAAACAAACAAACAACCCCAACAAACCAACCCACCAGCCAGCCAGCCAAGAAAGAAAGACACAAATAAACAAACCCAAAACCGCACACGCATGCGCACGCAAGTAAAAACAATACGCTTCGCCGAGCCACCCGTCTCAGCTAAGCAATTGTGAGCTCAAGTACATGTTGGGCGCTCCAATGTCCCAGCAAAAGCCTCTGCCAGGTTCCATGTTTAGGAGTCAACAAATCAGAGATTTGTCAGTCCTTTGCCTTGGCCTCTTCTACAATCTCGTCGTCTGACTCGCTGCGCTTCATGGCAGCAGCACTTCCAGACTGCGGGTGTGTTAATGTATCAATGGAAAACTGCTTCTGGGCTGTTGAGAAGCATCGACCCGCCGGCAACAAGCTGATTGCCTGCTTGATGTGCGAACATGTGTCAACGAGTTATTCTGACTTTCTTCTACTGAGAAGTAAGTCCTCGGCTGCAACAAAAACACGGGTGCTGTGACGTCGTTGAGGGCGCGATGATGTTGTGTCGTGCTCACACCGCATTTGCTTCAATGTGCGCTGCATAAATCAATCAAGCCAAAATCCAATGGCATCATCCATGCCCATGGTTGTGGTATGTCCAAATCGGCATGCTGGAGCCAAAAAGCTGAGTCAATAGCTGTGTTGTCCCTCTGCAACACTATCCCAAGCAACACTATCCCGACACACCCATACCGTCGTTACTGTACCTTTCTCAGTCCTGACTTTCAAAATCCAGCGACCCGTACGTAGGAACAATCAACAAAAACGGGACCAGTACCAATCAATTGTCGTTTAACTGACCCTGGCATCTGAGAATCTGCACAGCTGATGTGTCCTCCGCTCGTCTCGGCCATGAGTCTCACCGACCTGCACGGAGTCTCAGCCCCAAAGCCCCGGCTTTTGATGGTGCCCAAATATAGACATGTTTTCGGAGTTTTGCCAAATGTGTGGGGTTGCTTTCTGCAGAAGCTGCTATGTTGCCATCTCGAAGTGTTTCCAAAATGTTCGGCCATTGCCATCCACTGCCCACGACACTTTGCGTGATACGTTCGGTTTTACTCCCCTGCCCAAGGATCTCGCAGATTCTCGTGGCGAATGGGGCCTCTCATTTAAAGAAGAACGCAAAAGGATGTTGGGGTTGAAGCGATAATGCCAGCTTTGACATATTCAAAGGCATAAATGTTCGAACGGCGGACCATATTCATCAGAGGGGTTCCCATAAATGTCGATTAGACTTCCAACAAAAATGGGAGGGTGGGATTCCCACAGAGCAAGCTTATCAATCTGGAGTGGACCACAAGTTTTGTGATGTTGACGGTGCGCTTTGCTGATCATGCGCACAGGGGTTTCTAGGGCCAATCCTTGTGGCTTGTGAAGCCGGACTCTGGGGGTGCCCTGAAAATTTTGGGACTGGGACCCTCTCGTTCGGGTAAGTATATAATAGGAAACTAAGGCAAGAACGCCAACTGCGCGTCTCATGGGCTGTATAGACTCATATAAAACACCCATTGGAATCCATTCTATAGCTCACGCAGCAGAGGATATCCGACGCAGAATGCAAATACTTTCATGGCAGGCCAGAATTTGCGAACCTCCCACTACTTTAGGAGGACAACAGTTTATTAATGCCTGTTGCTTATTTCTGCAAAGCTGCGTGGGTCACTCGCGGATCGAACTACCAACTCTGGTCTGTGTGTGTGAACCACCTGAATCAAGGCTCCGCCGTTGCAACTTGGTTTTATCAGGCTGGCTACCCTCAGGGCCAGCACGTCGCCCAAGGGCATCCCACTAGCTTTCATGGTGGGCTCTGCACCTGCGCGGGTGGGCAAGATTGGATTTCTCTGCCACAATGGTTGTCTTGTATGTTTCCGTACGCGTTCTGTCAAAGGGCGTGCTGGGTGGGGTTTGTCCCCATCAGACCTTTGCCCGCCAGAGAAAGATGTCTTAGCTCGCCAAACAAGAACTCATCCCCGGTGTGGGATAGACGGTGTTTCGCTCTCTGCCTGTGAAGCACGTAAAGAGAGACGGTGAGCTTGTTCTGGCCTCGTCCCTAGGTCTTGCTTTGCTCGTTCTGGCCCCATCAAGGCTTGATCAAGGGTGCAGCCTAGGTCTTGCTTTGCTCGCTCTGGCCCCATCCAGCGTACAGCTCATGGTTGAAGGTAAAGACGCGCCAAACGCGTGCTCGACTCAGTCCGGTAACGCGTGGATTAACCAGCTGAAGCTTCCAAAGCAGAAGGAGAAGAAGATTCATGAGCTGCTGGCTCATTCTAGTGAGTTGTACAAGTCCCTTTCCGATGAGGCTCCACCGACTCCTCTGAACTTCTGTAGCTTGGCTCTTGACCTTAAAGCCCTCGTTTCCCGAGCTCGGCCTCGGAGGTGTCTGACCAACCCTTGCCGCGCATAGTCCGGGCGCATCCGCTATCCAGGATGGCAAGACCCGGCGGGCCCGTGTCTGAGTCCCCGACCTCGAGTTCCACAGCGGCGTCCTTGGTCATCATGACGTCGCAGTAGTGGATGTGCGGTTCATCCTGTGGGCCATATTGGATGGGGATCTGGCTGTAGTGTCCTCTTCTGGGCATCACTCAGCCCTTCGCTTGACTTGAGCATCCGAAGAAATGCAGCTCCTATCACACGAGGTCTGCCGTAGAGGTAGAAGGCCATCCTGAACACCTCCACAGTCATCGGCTTGTTACGCAAGATGTGGACCATGATGTCCCTGCCGTGAGTTCCATACTCCGGGCATGAGGCGACCTGGGCGCAGTTGCATCCTGACAACGGACCTGACGCGATGGGAAAATGGTCAGCAGGTAGTGAATGAGGGTAGTTCCTCCTCAAGGCAGATCCTCACGCCGTAGACCCACAGTGTTCGCAACCTTGGGCCCGGTCGTCTTGCTATTGCTTCCAGGAATCACATCCCATCCGTCTGGCGATGACGATGGCGATCCCGGGTAGCCAGCAGTGGTTGTAGGTGTCGAGATCCCCCGACTGCTGAGGTCTTGGCCTTGTCGTCCTGCAAGGAGAGCCTTGCAACCGACGCAGCGAGCTCTTGAGACCGAGAGGCACTGCCCCACTTCGTCGCAAGGGCGATCTGCACGAGGTAGCCCCGCGTTCTCTCCGCCTGGCCACAATCACACTCTTCTCGCACTGCTTGCACGTGATATGCCTGGTGTGGCCGTTGGCTCCACGGTGGAACCTCTCCTCCCACACCAAGCAGAAACCCGACAAGACGGTCAGGCTCCGCTTACCATCAGAATCCACGCTGCGGCGAGGCGGAAGCAAAGGACCTTTTTCCTTATGACTAAGGGCGCCCTCCAGGGCCAGATGCAGCGGTCGCACACACCTGGACTGTTCCTAGTGCATGAGACTATGAACTTTCACACTATATTTCAATTATATAATAGTTTAAAGGCTTCAGAGTGTGGTAGTTCGACCGCGCAAATGACCCAGCAACAGCTTGCCGGATTTTGGGGGAAACGGTCGCGTTCTCCAAGAAGGCGCACCCGGACCCCAAAAAAAATGTCCAAAGGGTACCTTCAAGACCAAAGGGTGCCACGGATGGAAGCCTTTCACCTCAAATATCCCAAGGGCGTGAGGTGGCAGAAGTTGCCAAACCCAAGATATATTGAAAATGACTCGCAGAAAGCAAAATCTGCCCTGTGAGAGGCACCTCAATGAATTCTGTCCAGGGCTAGGCGCAGAAATCCGCGTAGTCGTCAATTGCCCGCACAAAACTAAACCAGAAATCGCACTAGCTGTGCTAGATTCTCTCTCCTCGCACGCTCAAAACCAGGCCATCCATGTTGCACGCTAAATGATAAATGAGCAGAAACAAACAAAGGGCTTCCTAACATGGAAGTCTAATGAAATCTACTTCTACTTTGGTCTGCTAAAAACCAGTACGGAAGGAAGATACCGACGATACCAAAATACAACGAATGGCAAAGGCTGCTTCACATGAGGTTTGGGTTGGGACCATCCGCAATAAGCCTGTACAAGTGGCGGGGAGGGGGGGTCTGGCTGACTCTCATGCCAACATTTTCTTTTCCAAGCTATGTCCAGCCTCGGCAGCATGGGCAGAAGATGCCCACATGGCGCGAGGCGGCCTGTTGTTTGCACCCAGCCCCCTTGTGCCCTCTATGGAGCGGCTCACGGATCCTGCACGTCAAGCCGCATCAGAAACTGGCGTCACTGTCAATTGGAAACATGGTGTTGATGAAGGAGTATCCTAAATCGCCTCATGGGCTACGCACTCGATTAGCAGCATCAAATATGAAGCTACAACAATCAAGGGAGTTGCTGCGTACTTATCTGTGCATTGCAGCTGGTGAAGTGGACCCATGGAGGCGAAGGGCTTGCGGAACCGTATCAAACCAAGACTTCTCATGCTGTACATCTTCTGTAGGTGACTTAGAACTACTTGGGCTGCGTGAAACAAGGTGGCCCCCCCGCTGACTCCTGGTGAACAACTTAAGGATACACGTTTTGTGTACCCATCACATCACCAGCCTGGTCCCTCAGTTGCAAAGCACCTGTACCGGTGACGCTCTTTCATCCCACCGGTATCATCTGCTCATATATTTCCCTGAACCTCAAAGAGGCTCAAACCAAGCATCACACATACAAACAACACACGCAAAACAAACAACAACCAAAAACAAACCATACCAAACAAAACAACACCAGCACGGAACAGAACTCACCAATGCAACACAAAACAAAACGAGCAACACAACAACACATATTAACAACACGTGTAAACAAACAAACAAACAGACAAACAAACAAACAAACAAACACGCAAAACAAACAAACACACAAACAAACAAACAAACAAACAAACAAACAAACAACCAACCAACCAACCAACCAAACGAACAAACAAACAAACAAACACACACACACACACACAACCAAAACACACAAACAAAAACACACACACACATAAACAACAAACAAACAAACAAACAAACAAACAAACAAACAAACAAACAAACAAACAAACAAACAAACAAACAAACAAACAAACAAACAATCACACAACCAAAAAACACAAACAAAGACACACACACACACGCACATAGACAACACACACACACAAACAAACAAACAAACAAACAAACAAACAAACAAACAAACAAACAAACAAAAACACACACACAAAACACACAAACAAAAACACACGCACATAAACAACACACACAAGCAAACTAACAAAACAAACAAACAAACAAAAACAAACAAACAAACAACCACACAACCAACCAACCAACCAAACAGACAGACAGACAGACAGACAGACAGACAGACAGACAGACACACATACAAACAGTCAAACACACACACACACACAGAAACACACACACACACACAACACACGCACACACACCCACACACACAAACAAACAAACCAACAAATAAACAAACAATCAATCAATCAATCAAACAAACAAACAAACAAACAAACAAACAAGCAAGCAATGAAGCAAACAAACACACAAACACACAAAAAACAAACAAACAAACAAACATACATACATACATACCATACATACATACAAACACACACACACACACAACCAACCAACCAACCAACCAACCAACCAACCAACCAACCAACCAACCAAGCCAGCCAGCCAGCCAGCCAGCCAGCCAGCCAGCCAGCCAGCCAGCCAGCCAGCCAGCCAGCCAGCCAGCCAGCCAGACAGACAGACAGACAGACAGACAGACAGACAGACAGACAGACAGACAGACAGACAGACAGACAGACAGACAGACAGACAGACAGACAGACAGACAGACACACAAACAGACAAACATACAAGCAAGCAAGCAAGCAAGCAAGCAAGCAAGCAAGCAAGCAAGCAAGCAATCAATCAATCAATCAATCAATCAATCAAACAAACAAACAAACAAACGCACAAACAAACACACAAACAAACAAACAAACAAACAAACAAGCCAACAAACAAACAACCAAACACGCGAGCAAGCAAACAAGCACGCAACCAATACCCAAACAAGCAGTTCAGCAAAGACACACACACACACACGAGCCAAAAGAGCGCATCCCTGTTTCACTCCAAACAATCCCGTGACAGGGTGACCCTAGAAACCCCTTCCATCAGAAAGGACCTGCGGCAATTCAGCCCTCGGCGAAGGAGCGGTGCCTGCCTCTGAGAGTCGCTTGGGCCAGGCGATGCATCGCGCGGAGCAAGTTAGCTCTGGAAAGGGGCACTTTTGGAGCCCTTGGTCGGTTTGCCCAGGGAAATGGCGTCTGGAGTCTTAGTGTCTAGACGCCATGATTAGTGCTATGTCCCTTTTTTCCAGAGTCCAAAAGTGTCGTTTGCCTCAGGAGATTCAACTGTAGCTGGAGCTGCGCCGTGAGCACAATGAGGCCATGTTAATGGGCAGCTTCTAAATCAAACTCGTGGGTACAGGGAGTTCTGGGGCAGTGGCTCGAACTGGCTCGAACAATTTCACCAACTTCAAGATGTACGGAACAGAACCATACACAATCGAATTGAGCCAACCAAATCGTATGTGTGGTCAGATCGCCAAACTAGGCGAATCTATCCTTCCGTCTGATCTTCACAGCAACGCCGAGCTGCGCGCCAACTTCATCGCTTACAAGCAAAAACCCGGTTTTCACAGGGGGACCGCTCTTAAAGGGAACACACCCTATGAATCAACCAGCGGCCCAGGGGCTTATTCACCCTTCCTGGCTTCCCATTCCTCTGAACGCCGGATCTTCCTACCTGCAATAGCAATGGTATCAAACGCATTGGAACTTTGAACTCTTCAGCAGCATCCCCCAGTCAATACATTGGGGCAGTCGTTGGTGTTCCCTTCGATTCCAAAGCCAGCTTCGATTGGAACGACCAGCGCGTTTCCGAAACCCACAGCCTGTTTTCTTGGACAGGGCGCAAAGCCACTCCCTTGCGCATCCGATTTGTCGGGTTCCTCGAATGAGTGAACCCAATCAGTCGCAAGTTGCTAGTTATTTTTTGGGGGGAGGCGTTAATCTTTCGGGTTGGCACCATAAAAAAAAATCCTCGGCTCGTGCGAGGGGAAAGGCACCTCCTCGGGCCAGGCCCGGGACGCCTCCGCGCGCTTCTTGGCGCGGCCTGTCGATTTCAGAGCGAACCCACGGATTCGGATGCCTTGAAGCAAGGACCCGGCCGTCGAGCATCCTGCAAAGGACTGGAACCAACAAAATCCCGCACTTTTCTGAGGAATAACAAATTTGGAGGAATTTTGGGAAAGGGTGAATTTGTCTTGATTGGTGATGGGCGAGCGGTTTGGAGGTTAAGTGCAGCCCAATTGGCTCAGGATGCCACCAGTTCAAATCCCCAAACCACCAATCTTCACCACTAAGGAATGATTACCAGATAGGCACCGGCTTGGACAAACATAATGGGTTCCATTGGATGATGGAAAACCAACCGACTGGAAAAAAAAAACTCGATTTGGCTGAGGTCATATGTGAGGACATGCACCCTCTTTTTGGATGGTTTGGACATGAGAAGCAAAATTATGTGCATCATTCAGAGGGGTCCCAAATAGATAAATAAAAACGCCCACAACGAGGTCAGTTGACTCCCCTATAGAATTGAATACCCGAAAACCACGAGGGATGAGAACTGTCGCCCTTCAAAAGTTTGAGACAGGACCATCCCGAATAAACTTGGGGGGGCATTCTAGCAAGCCTCAGGTGGGCAATACGTTCCCACATTCATGGCCGGCAACCTTTGCTTTCGCGGAGCCTTGGATTGCAGTACGTGTCAGGGTCACAGCGCCGATTCGTGCTTTGATGACCGCAGTTTTCCGTGCTGACTGAAGCATAAGGCGGCCCTCCAATAAGGCAAGATTCGGAATCGAAGGACCAAGCCAACATCGGCCGACAAAGCGGATGTCTTGCTCCAGGTGGTTGGTTGATTCTCACCCACATCTCCAGCCTGTCGCTCACGCCGCCTTTTTGCTCAAGCTAGCAGTCATGCAGCCCGGCTTGAGGATCAAGCGACTTGATCTCGTCAACTCTTTCCGAAGCTCAATCATCTCTCGTGAAGGCATGAATTTGGCTGCATGAATTTCACGGATTACACGGCAATAAGGTTGACTAAGGCAAAGGGCCTTCAGCCCTCCAGTGACCATCAAGGCACGGGTAGTTGACTTTAAAGCCCCTCCAAAATGAGGAAGAAGGGGAATTAACTCCAACAGACCCACGTTCGTCACGTTCGTGCGGCGAGCGCCCAGCGCGAGGCGCGCCAGAGGTTTGCAGCCTTGGTCCAAGCTGGGAAGGGGCGAAGGAAATCCAGCTTGCCAAATTCATTGCTTTTGCTCGCTCGCTCACTTGCTTGCTGGCTCGCTCGCTCGCTTGCTCGTGTCTTTTCCTTCTGGGAATCACCCTGTGTTCTGTGTGTCGCAACCGCCAAGTACACTAGAAACAAGCAAAAGAAAGACATGACGATCCAGGACTTGACATGCCAAAACTACGCTCCAAATTGCAGGTATCTTTTTGGTCTCTTTGCAACACCCAGACTTGGTGTACAGTGTACAGTGTACGGAATCACAAGCCTCAAGCCCTTCAACGGTGGGTGGCAGAATTGGATTTATAAACTTGACGCTCGTGAAGGGGGTTCCTTTGTCTGACTAACCGAATGAAAGCTGGCGGGATACAACACTCGGAAGGGCGACAAGGAAACATCCAGAAGCCCCACAAAGGCATTTGTTTGCGCCCCAGACTTATTTACCAAGGTCAAGCACGCAAAACACATCCACTCCACGGTCCCCAAGGCCTAACTTGCCGCTTTGAAAGTATGCTTCAGTCACTAGGTGGTTGTTTTTGAAGGTGCCCTTGCGGGTTCTCTCAATTGCCACGACCATATGGAGTCCAGCCCAACCCGTACGGAGCTTAGAAGCTATGCCCAAGCCTGAAAACCGATTAGCAAGCTGAGTGGAGCGTGTAACAACTCCTTTCCCAAATCACTGGGTACGCTCTGAAGAAACACAGGTCTGCCCATTCAACCCCGTTTACCTCTGGGCCCGTTGGCTGGCCAGGCGAAGCAGCGGGAATGCCCAACTTTCCCGAACGATTGGGAAATAAGTATAATTACGTAAGCACCGAGCTTGATGAGAACTTGATGATGTCATGTCGTGAATCTTGGTATACCCTTGGGAACAGCAAGCACTGATGCAATAGGATAAGCACATCAGCGGCAAACACTTATGCTCCCTTAATGGCCCGATAAGTGTTGACAGCGCAGCACCCTAGCCCCGCAATGAACATCACAGTTCTTAAACTTAGAACCAGGCTTAGAAGGCAGCCAGTCCTACCAGTTTCATGGGTGTCCTACTATTGAGGAAACCCTGCAAATGTTGGGTGTGCCTTTGTACCAAGCACAACTCACTTGAGTGAGTTGGCCCCATAAGAGTCAACCCGTCTATGTTCAAGCTGTCTTCCCAAAGATCTGTAATCCCGGTTCAGACAGAGCCGACTTACAAGCCAGCTTACGAGTTGGGATGCCCAGTTCAATTGCCGCGAGGCATCACTACATGAGCTTGTCTCGAGATTCCAACATAGGTGGTTTCCTTTTCGTCTCCCTCTTGACGAAGCGCCAGGGTACCCTCGAAAGAGACACAGCGCTGGTGGGCGTTTCCAATCAGAGTTTGCAAGTCGAGCTGGTCCCAGTCCAGTAGTCTTCATCTGTGCGGAGCAATTACTCCGCCGACGCTGGCAGCACAGCCGCTCTGGGCTGTTGCCGCAGTCGTCAAAAAAAGGCTGAACTGAAACCAAAAGTAACAATCGATCTCCCCTTTGGAGAGTCTACTCTAGGGTCTGGAGCGGTTTACAGACGCCAAAGGCGCAGGATTCGCTCGGATGTGTACGCACGAGCGGGGGTGAGTGCCCGTCGCTGATCGACTTGGATATGCCCTTTGCACAAAATAAGCAAGCGTTGCCATCTGAGGCTTTCTGACTGAAGCAAATCAGGGGGCATCTGCCACCGCCCGCATTTCCTTGACAGGAACTCTCCGATAAGCCCTGCCAAGTCTTCAGAGTCAGGGGGGCAAATCGTCACCCTTGTTGACTCAGCCTCTTGCCACTGAAGATGGTCGTGTTGCAAGGTTGAAAGCGACCGAGTGGACATTGACATGCACACTTACAATGGCAAAGACCATGGCCCATCACTCTATGATCTTTCATGCCAGTCGCTTCAAGTTCATTTTACATAGGGCGCAAATCACGAACATGAGATCACGTACTCGACACCGATCTTAGCGTGTGCTTGTGCAGCTTGTTGGCTTCACGTCTACCTCAAAAAGTGCTTGATGGTGCCTTGCCCCAAGTTGTGGACACTCCCATTCGTAAGGACTCTGAAAACGAGCAGGTCCTAACACAACATGCACCACAGGCGTCGGCTGATGGCTGACGTCAGAGGCGCCGAGCAAATGCTAAGGCTAAGCCTAAGAAGGTTGGGCCCAACAAGCTTGCCAGTATCACTCACTATGCGCAGAAGGTACAAAAACACAACGGTCTTCAGTCCCACAAGAAACAAACCTGCCCTGACTTCTGACCATTGGGTCCAACCTTCACTTCGGCCCGGGCCCCGTGCCCTTTCACACCGCAAAGTCCATCATTCGCCCCAAGATGCGCTCCTGCGGGAAAGGACAGGCGGCAAAATGCGAAGGTCTCCACGGCGAAGCAATAGTCACGCGCACTGGTATAACTTGGTCGAGGATCTATCTGTCAAGAGCTGTCTTTCCGGTCCCTATCTTGAGCCCTATGGCAAAGTCTGCACCCTCCAGCAAACCTATGCACCTGGCAGCCAGCAAGGTCCAATCTTTGACAAGCGCAAAAGTCAAAATCTAGTGGGATCCGGCGGTCATGGACTAAAACCTGCGGTCCCCTGGTGGTTTCATTTTGACCCATATCCAAGTCATGCTGGGTGGGCACTCTGTTTACGGCCAGGCAGAAGGCAGCTTCTGCATCAAGGACCAGCTCAGTCCATGAAGATCTCTCCATTCAATTTTTGTCAACTCAGAATGTGCTCCAAACAAATTGGGCCACAAGGCCCTTGGGTTGTCTCAAAAATAGCTCGACCACTCATCCAAAACCAGTGGAGCTCCTTCCCCCCCGCCGTTCCGGCCCCCGGGTCCTGGCGCATCAAGTAGTTCTGGCGCGCCGCGGCAGCACAGGACAGCTCG